CCCCCCCCCCCTCCAGCTGTCTGAATTAAAACAGGAAAGCGAGAGACTGAGAAAAACATTAAAAGTCTGTAATGCTGTTCTWCAGCAGCAGGAAAGGATTGAGCGGCAAGAGTCCAAAAGAGAAAATCTCTCAATGCACTTGAAGGAATGTGTAGCTGTGTAGAGTGAGCACAGTAAGCTATACGCTCCTGCAAGCTATTGAAAGCCATTAGACATCATTAACATCATTAAGACACCATGAACACGGCCCTGCATGCCCGAGGTAGCCGGGAGGCTGCAGAACCCTGATCGAGGCAGCCCTGCTGCCTGCATGGGACTGGTGAAGTGATTCCGTAAAAAACTGGGCAGTCCCCGTAGCAGTGATGGTTGGACAGTAGGTTCCCAGGTAAGCAAGGATCAGAGCTGGAGGGATGCGTGGGGTGTGTGTGTACTAGTGTGGGGGTTCTTGTTTATTGGTGATGCCTGTTCTGTTTCTGCTCTAGAACAAAACAACATTGTTTAGTAGAGTTAGATRCAGGTGAATGTTCCTCCTCAGCTGGGAAAGCAGGTTGGAAACAAAACAGAGTCTTCAGAGTACCTTTGCAGAGTGGGGTAAAACTGATCATAAGGAAGTTATGATGGAATGAATATATATCTGTAGTATTGTGTTGGTAAGTGCCAAAATGTTAGCACTTTAAAATGCAATAGAAATCTGTGGAGTATGAAAATGAGAATTCTTACTATGGTTCATCATTTATCTTGCTGGTTTTGATTTTGCCTGGGTACTAGCAACAGGCCTTAATGCTTTGGAGTTTATTTGTTATGCCWCTAGCTTGTCTTTCCAATATAGCTGACAGAAGTAGAATAAAAGAATCTAATTTCATATGTAATGGGGTACACTTTCCTGGCAGAGGATTTCAAAAGATTAGCAGAAGATAAAAGAGTATTTCTCGATTGTAGTAGTTCTCTTTGGTAGTAGAAAATTTTTTTCATTGGCCAGTAAAACATACTGTGAACTCTTTGTTGACTTCAAAATAATAATATAAAAATTAACAGTAGCATTTACTCASCTATGTCCTTGTAGAACTGGCTGCTCTATTTATGATTTGCAGTGTCATCTGTGAGACATAAGTAGCCAAATTTGTGTTTGGATGCATCAATCTCTGATCTTGACATTAACTTTTAATATTACTTATTTTCATTTATGACTGTTGTCCTGGAGTGGTGTTCTGTTGATGTCAGAAAAGGTACAGTTATAATTTAATAAACCTATTGACCATTACACTTAAGTTTCAGATGAATGCTTAAATCTTAYTTCTCCAAGTGGTTCAACAACTTTYAATGACAGATAAAGCCTGTTACTGCTTTTGCAGAAAATCTGCAAATACTATTGTAATCGCCAATCAAAAATTCTGCTTTTCTGGACCTGAAGTTATTTATAAGTGTGCCAAAGACCATTAGGTTATGCTACAAAGATTCCTAAGAAATTATTTATGTCTGGATAGAGAATAAAAAGTATAAAAATAACAGACATGTTTATGTCAAAAAAGGCAGGCTTAGTTGGCTGAGGAATTTTATTGCCCTTTAATAGGGAAAATGGTATTTATGKATGTTTTGGGCAACATTTACAAACAAAACTAAAATTTCTTCCATAAATYTGTAACAAAAACCATACAGAAGAGTAAGTATGTTCCAAATGGACTTTACAGTGTTTTAATGAAAAATAATAATAATAATATATCTGAAAGGTTTGGTSTCTGTGTATCTCAGTTCTTGGTAGTGTTCCCTTGGAAACTGAAGATCACGTTTTCATTTTATGGTATGAACTGCAAATGGAATGTAGAATATTCCTAAAATACTCAATTTATGTGTGTGCTAGGTACRGCGTTTTGATCTCACAGCATTTCAGACACATTTTTACAAATGCAAGAAGCAAGATAGGTRAAGTAGGCAGTAGACAATCATAACAGACATGAATAAATGGACTATTTGAGGATGTGTAGGTTGAGATGAAGAAGCAAAAAGTGTTGGCTCTGCAAACTGATTTGCTCTGGAATTTGTCTGTCTGTGTAACTTTCCAGTGACATATCTAGCTTATGGTTTAGCACACAGCAAAAAAACCCCAAACCAAAACAACAACCAAAAAAAAAAAAAAAAAAAACCAAACAAAAAATACAAACAAAAAAACCCATCAACAACAGCAACAAAAAAGGCAAATGATCATTTCTACAATGTTGACAGAAGGAATCTAATTTGGTATTTTGCTGAGCATACCAAATTATCCAGGACTGCAAAAGCTGTCAATCTGTGTACATGGCAAGTAGAAATTTAAAATATTCATTTTTGTCCTTAGGAGRATAAATTTTTAACTAATTGGTTTGATAATAAGACTTGCACTAAACCCACTAGGTTTGTATGCCTCTCAGCATGGCAGTAGCAGTCGGATACACTTAGCAAACAGTCTGTCAGATGATGTGGCTTTGAACTAAAACCAGCTGTCTGCAATAAAGAAACAGARAAAACAGAGGCAAGTTCCTGTGGGGCAGTTCACTGGGAGGTAGAGTTGACATAATTTGTTTCCTATACTCAGGAAATAACCCTATCAATAGCTTCTGTTGAGAAATGTTTTTGATGTCTGACAGTTCATGTCTAATAYCACATCACATGAGCAAGTCAGATGTAATCTCAGACATTGTCAATGAAAAAAAGGAATCAATTATGGAATAGCAACGGCTTACTGGAAGAAAAGTGTTGTCAGTATGCCAGAAACTATCTACAGTTATATCTGGGTTTTTAGGTGCTGAACCAAAGCAGATAAGTATATTTAACCACTGTGAATTTCAGGTTGCCGTTCCAAATTAGTAAATATCCCTTATTTTGACCAAATTAGTGTCATAAACTCATAAACTATATAATAAAATCATAAGCTATTATTTTAGGATTGAAAGGCACAAAACAATGCCTCTAGATTTATAGATGCTATGAGTGATCAAAACATCAAAATAATATTCATGTACATTTCTATCACATTATACTGGTGAATTAATTTCTTGACATCCATAGCATATCATGGGAAACCAGAGGTATTTTTTGTGAATCACAATTTTGTTTTGAATTCTGTACATTGAAAATTCTCCGCTATCAAAGTCTATTAGAAATTTTGACTATTTGCATAGACAATACCTTTCCAGATAGAAGCARTGGCCATGCTGCAAGTACAAACTTCACTTCCAAGATTTATCCATAATATACTAAATTAAGRTCTTGTTCATAGTATATTGGGGTTGTCTTCACAGTACAGTTGTTGCTGCTTTTTTGTGTAATTTGATTTGCAGGGAAGTGGTTTGTGTCTTTGTGATAAGTGTCCTAAGTATAGTTAGATTAGTGATGTATGATCTGTATTAGTTAACTTCGTGATATTTTCCAGAAAGGGATCTGGAAATCCCAATATTTTGGGTGAGAGAGCCAATGTGTTCTAAATGGCCATTGCTGTTTGCTTAGTGAATATGGRTCACACCTTTATTTTGCCATTTGGATCAAACCCATCTTATATATTGGCATTCTTAACAAAGTATTTGAGGGTRAGGGTCATCATAAATTTTTTTCAAGCTGAAAATTAAAGTTGGGGGCAGCAGATGGAGTGTTTAGAAGGTAATTCCTAACTTAGAATGTTGTAGTATTTTAGCCTGTGTTACAAATATCTGTAGTTGGTAATATTCTTGAAGGTGCATTTTGCTGTCATAGGTTTAAAGAAAAGGGTCTTTAAGAAGTGTGATTTTTTTTTTTTACTGTAGTGATTGGTAAGTGCCAGTAGCACAACAATTTCTTCATGACTTGAAGTCAGAAATGGACAGCAGTACTTAAAAACACTACTCAGGGATGGGGAAAATACAGAACTGAATTTGAGAAAAATAACCTGGTGAAGACAGAGATTGTCACTACATACAAAATTCAGTTGTCAAAAATTGTCAGAATTCAAATTCAACTGGCAAATTAATCTTTTTTTTCAGAATAGTTTTCATTCAGTTTGCATGTTTTATTTCAACTGCATGAACCAGTATATTAATATAGTTACAGCCTGGCTAATCTAAATCATTTTTGTCAGCATTAAACCTCTTTATTMTATATTAACAGTTACTTAATGGTTCTTATTACTGCAATTAAATCTTATTATTTGAAAGAAATTAAGAACACACTATCTAATTATAAAGTGTGAACATTAAATCTAAACTGAGGAAAAAATCTATTATTTTCTGCATGTTATTCTATTATTTTCTACTTGTACTCACAAATTTTCAGTAATTTTAAAGTAGTGTAAATTATTTAATAAATATAATCACTATTAAAAAAAAATCTGTTCACATAAACAGTGTTATTGTCTACCAAATTGTGTTCCTTGTGTATTCGTTTGCTTATAAAGCCTTATGTATGGCCTCCCGTAACTGAGASTCTCTTGCTGTGATTTAAATATGAGCTTAATGAGGAGATAGATGCAGTTGTGTTGTGAAGTTGGTGTCTGACAAACAGTCCCAGAAAGCAAAGTGCTCACTTTGCACAGTACCATAGTAATCCAGCCTTCCCTTTCATGTGTGCCAGGTCCCTCCCTGGAATGCTGGGGAATTCCATCCAGGCTTCAGGGAGTCCTTTGGGGTGACCCTGAGCAGGCTTTCCCACTGAAAGGCACCGATTTGCGCCAGGACAGAGAGGAGGGATCCYGTGCCTCCTGCTGAGGAGCTGCTGGTGCTCCTGCTTCCCTGATCTGGACAGACATTTCCTGCAGTAGTGTTGGCATCAGTGAACATAGGATGACTTAAACCTGTAATACTATGACAAAAATTTACTCATTCTTAAACTTTAAAAGTTAATAAGTTAAAAAAATATAGAACTAAAAACTGAAGTTGTAACTGAAATGAATGAAMAATTCCTTCTTAAATATATTTACTTTTTTTCTCTTGTAGATGACAGTCATGTCCCATTCAAAGGATCTCAAGGACGATTTCCACAGTGACACTGTACTTTCCATTTTAAATGAACAGCGCATTCGGGGTATTTTGTGTGATGTCACCATAATTGTGGAAGACACCAAATTTAAAGCCCATAGTAATGTGCTGGCAGCTTCAAGCCTTTACTTTAAAAACATCTTTTGGAGTCGTACTATYTGTATTTCAGGTCATGTACTGGAGTTAGATGATCTCAAAGCTGAAGTGTTTACAGAGATACTGAATTACATCTACAGTTCCACAGTAGTTGTTAAGAGGCAGGAGACTGTAACGGACCTTGCAGCTGCAGGGAAAAAACTGGGAATATCATTTCTAGAAGATCTTACAGATGTAAACTTTTCAAGTTCCCCCTGCCCCTATGCATATGTTAATGAAAAAGGGACTGTCAAAGAGGAAAAACATGAAAAGCGACATGAAGACTCTGCTGTGACAAATGGACCACGAATTACAAATGCATTCTCAATTTTTGAAACAGAAAACAATTTGTTTTCTCCCCTTGATTTGAGGGCCAGCTTTAAAAAGGTATCTGAGACAATACAAGCTCCCAACATCAGCCTCGACAGAAGTGATGTTTGCAAAGATGCTGAGCCAGCCAGTACCTTGGCTGAACACTCTTATGCAGTTTCTTCTGGGGGAGATACTTCACAAGGAACACCTTTTGTTGAACAGGACAGCAGCCCTTCATACCACGTGGGTGAGGACCGCTATGAAAATCACCAAGCCACCCCAGTCATTCAGCAGGGAAAACAAGCAGCTAATATTCCTAAGTCAGCCTTTAAGCCCCAGAATACTGGTTCGGCTATAGCAAAAGTACCGGCCTCTACAGTAACCACTACAGAAGCCCAGCATGAAGCAGTTACTAATCAGACAATTACTTCCTTTCCAAAATCTCAAAGTAAAGCAGGAGAAGTATCCAGAGAAGAGGAAAGCACTTCTGCTAATGTCTCTGCATCTGAGGCAACTGTCACTCCACCTGTTTACAGTTGTAACTGTTGTGCAAAATCATTCAATGACCGGGCATTACTTACTGCTCACCTCCATTCAGACCATCAGGAAAATTTCATATGCAAATACTGCAGCAAACAATTTGCAAATCTAAATATACTTAAAAGTCATGAACAAGTCTGCATGAGATCAAGTAACTTATCGCCTCACAGTGGAAATGAACAAAATTTTGCAGATAACTATACTGCTGCAGAGGGACGGAATGGAAGTTCATATGCAAACACAGAGCCTCTGTTGTCTGAAAACAGCATCACTGATTGTTCTAATGCAAACTGCACTTTACCAGAAACAGATCATTTGGTTAAAGTTGTTGATGGGCAGATACTATATACTTGCGTYGTTTGCAAACGTAGTTATGTCACATTGTCCAGCCTTCGAAGACATGCAAATGTGCATTCCTGGAGAAGAACATACCCTTGTCACTACTGTAATAAAGTCTTTGCGTTAGCTGAGTACCGCACCAGACATGAGATCTGGCACACTGGAGAAAGGCGTTACCAGTGCATTTTCTGTCTGGAGACCTTCATGACTTACTATATCCTGAAAAACCATCAGAAGTCTTTCCATGCAATTGACCATCGCCTCTCAGTAAATAAAAAGACGGCCAATGGGGGTTTAAAACCAAGTATGTACCCATACAAACTGTATCGACTCTTGCCTATGAAATGYAGGCGAATGCCTTACAAATCCTACCGAAATTCGTCGTATGACAATGTTCCAACAAGTACCCAGGCTAATGAAACTGCTTCTACTAACTGTTTCATTCAGAGTTCTCTTAACTCTGAGCTACCACCACTGAATTTTCAACATAGTATAATGTCAAACAACAGAACTTTGGCCTTGGATACTTCTTCATGTAATGATACAGCATCTTCCACAAATACTCAGAATTCTTCCTCTTGGGGAGTAGGTATCTTAAATTCTGGCCTGCAGAGGGACTTTTTCCCAGCTGAAAAAAGAGTTTCCACTGCTGCGAATGACTCTGGTTCACAGCAATGTGATTCCTCAGTTGTGTCCTTAGCTAACATGAATGAAAATTCAACCTCTGTCATCAGTTACAGCAGTTCTGCACCCTCTGTTATAATGCACAGTAGCAGAGTTTCATCGGTAATAATGCACAGTAAAACAGTCACTTCCATAGAAAACAGTAAGATGGAATCTTCAAATAACCTACCTAATCAGTCAGTAAGTAATGACTGTAAGTATGGGTCAGATAATTACGGGAAGTGCATTACTAAATCAAAAACAATTAAGGAGAAAAAGAAAACACTGCAATACAACAGAGCAGAAGCAACTGAGGATACACAGCATGTCACAGGATCCGGAGGTTCATGTAGCAAAACAAGTACTGTCCAAGAGTCCAGTAAAACTGAAACATACATTGCAAAGCCTGCCTTACCTGGAACATCTGCTGACAGCAATGTCGCGCCTCTTTGCCAGATAACAGTAAAAATTGGTAATGAAGCAATTGTAAAAAGACATATATTAGGATCTAAGCTGTTTTGTAAAAGGGGCCGCAAATCCAAACATGAGCCCAAACAGGACAATGTCATTGAGGAACCAGAAATGGAGGTGAAAGAAAGAAGCCCAACTAGACTCTATAACTCAGAATCCCTGGAGCTGACAGAAATGTGTGATGATGTAAGTGACCAGGACTCCAGTGATAAACCCTGGAGACCTTATTATAATTACAAACCAAAAAAGAAATCCAAACAGCTAAGAAAAATGAAAAAGACCAAGTGGAGGAAAAAGCACGGAAGCAAGAACACCAGTGTGGAAAGCCAGAACACATGCAGTCGAGAGTATGCACTCCGGAATGCTCCTGAGGAGAAGGCGGTCAGCCAGGAAGACAACACAGAAATGCCTAATCTTCATTGTGAGCTCTGTGAAAGAGACCAGTCTTCTACAGGAGAAGCTCAAGAACATGTACACTGGCATGTAGCTGCTTCAAAGCCTTACATTTGTGAATTATGCCAAAAACAATTTCAAAGTCCATCCACTTTAAAAATGCATATGAGGTGTCACACTGGGGAAAAGCCCTACACTTGCAAAACCTGTGGGAAATGTTTCTCAATTCCTGGAAATCTACAGAAACATGAACGTATTCACCTGGGTGTCAAAGATTTTGTCTGCCAATACTGTAATAAAGCATTCACTTTAAATGAAACACTCAAAATACATGAAAGAATTCATACTGGAGAAAAACGCTACCACTGTCAGTTCTGCTTTCAGAGTTTTTTGTATCTTTCTACCAAAAGGAACCATGAGCAAAGGCATGTACGTGAACATAATGGAAAAGGATACGCTTGCTTTCAGTGCCCCAAAATTTGCAAAACTGCAGCTGCTCTGGGAATGCACCAGAAGAAACATTTATTCAAAAGTCCAGGCACACAAGACAGAAAAGAACAGTTTTGCAATGAAAGTACTAAACTTCTAGAAAACCCACATTTGCTTGGTTCTGAAGGAAGTGAAGTGAAAAATACACAAAAGGTAACTCCAGAAGTTACACTCTGAGTGACAATTGTGCAAAAGAGTAGAAAAATCCAAAACTATTTTGTGGAGAAGATACAGATGTATTGAATGGGGAAACATATCATTTACTAAGGTCAAATTTCTTCATCTAAGTGTATGTCAGTGTATGCAAAAGAAGGAAAACAAAGAAAAAAASCAGTATTTGCAATAATACAAATTTCATGTGAAACATCCAAAATACTTTTGCCACAACAGACTCTTAACATAGAGAGAAAGAAAAATGAACAACCCAAACCCTTCTACTTAACATTACAAGAAACTAGTCACTGAACTATTTTACAGTTCTGGTTTTGAGTCAAAATCGTTCTAGGCAAAAGAAATAAGTAGATTCATGGTGTATTCTGTAGAAGGAAGTTTTGCTGCAGAAACCATATATTACTTTTTTTTTTTTTTTAACGAAAGTAATGTGTTTATAAAGGAAATAATTGTAATCTTGTGTATTCTAAAGTGAAGGTGCGAAGTGTTTCATGGTCTTGGGTGTGCCGAAGTACATTTGAGTTCTGCCATGCTTTTCTGTAACAGCCTTTACAAAACATATTCAGGAGTTTAAACTACTCTTTTCCTTTCCATATTCAGTTTTGTAGTTACCATAATAACTGTTAAGTCTGAGTGATGGTGTGAGAAGTATTCCAGATTTATATATCTCTGAGACATTTAATAAAGGTTCAGTGGAGTTTACTATAGCCAGTCTTCCAAACTGCATAAATCCCCATATCAGTGGCCTGTTGAGCTCTTCAGGTGCATTGGTCTAAAGAAAAAATTATGAAACAGAAATCTGTATAGAAAGGTCCACCTCCTGGTGGGTCTGCAGCTCTTGCTTTTAGAAATACTATTCTTGTCAACAGAAGGAGATGTAGACAGAATTTTCCTCCTCATCCTGGAGTAATGCCTGGACAGAAACAATAGAGCATCTCCCCATAAATACTTTAATTTTGAAAGGAGTAGATAAATAAGACTCCTACTTCATGTATATCCCTGAGGCAATCCCTATGTATAAACAGGTATAGGGCCAGTTTGTGGGGTTCCCTGTCATTTCCATGCCTTAAATGCAACATTTAACCTTCAGATGTCCCTTCTCAGTGATCCCACCAACCATTCCAGCAATGTCCCATGGCCATAGCAGAGAGGGGTCGGGAGCGGGCTGCTGGAGGATGGAGTGTTGGCCTTCCTGCCTCCCTCATCCTGCTACAGCAAAGGGTACTGGTGAGCCTTACAGCTGCACAGTTCACTAAGAGAATGACTTCTGAAAGACAGCACCTAAATATGCCAGTTAATATCGTTTTGTGATTCATTTTAATTGAGACGCTTRAAGTGTCCAAGGAGGTGCATGTCTGCAAGTTGCATTTTATATGATAGGGRTCTGTTGTACTGTGTGTGCATTTCCAATAGTCATGTTTGTTCATCCCTGTGAAGTGTTAAAAAATTMAGTCACGACAAGGGTTAGTGATCCTCAACTTCATTCAACGTGATGGTTCACAGTTTGTTACTTAACTTCGTCTTCTTGAATATTTTAAAAGAATCTATAGCTTGGGTACAATAAAACTACAGTTGAAATGATAATACAGTATTGATTGAAGTAATAATATAGTCCACTTGCTTATTCTATCACTGGTGAATGCTGTGAACCCTTTGAGAAATTCTGGTTTCATGGCAGCTTTGGTTCCATTTAAATAAGGATAACAGAATAATAAACACAGGAAAGCATAATGATATTTGAAAGAAAGTACACAAAGATATCTTACAAGTGGACTTGTATGATGATAAATATAGACCAAAGCAAATAAGGTAGAATATTTATAAATACAAAGATAATTTTACAAATATTTTATATAACTGTATAGTTCATAAGAAGAATATTGTTAGCTTGTGTTAGGTTTTGGGGAGGGTTTGTATATTTTGATAAAAACACAATGACTTTGTAACTCTGTATATTCTCTACAGTTTATAGCAAAGCAGTTTTAAGATGGCAATGTCATGTTTATAGTTCAATTGTGGCACTTTTACTACAAGTTAACATATTGCAGTAATGAATCAAGTATTAATGACCAAATTAGAATTAAAGTAAGTGTAAGAGAAGGTAAATACTATACGTTGTCAAAGACTGTAATTTGCTGCATAATCGCATCTGTATTTTTGTTTAGAAGAAAATATTAAATGCAGGTGTTAAGGATTGATAAAGAGTCTAATTTTATTTTTAGAAAGAGTGATTATAACTCTGTTTTTGCTTAATTAAAATAACATATTCCTATTTTTCTGTAAGTCTCTCAATTTTTTTAATTGTTTTAATACTTACATAATCTATATGATCCACARATACATATCTTCTAATAGTTATTTCATTGGAAGATTAAGCAACACAGTTACCAAGTATTCCCTTCATTAAGGTCAGAACAGTGAATTGAGAACATGCCAGGGCTCAAGGGAAGTGATGGTATCTCCTGGCATCGTGTAGGGTGAATGCAATGCAGAACAGAATATACCTGCTCAGTGTCTCAGAGGGCTGGGAACGCAGGTGAACCGTGTTTAATACTTTGCAACATCTTAAGCACGTGTTCAAGAGGACCTGAAACTTAAAAACTTCAATTCTGGCAGTACCTTGCAGCATCGATAGTTTATTTTATACACTCTACTATTTTGGCCTGCTGTCAAGAAATATAGTTCAAAATGCAAAGATCTAATTGCATATGAAAATACGAATATACATACAAAATAGAAAAGTATGCATATTCAAAGTACTTCCCCCTTCAGCTAGGTGTCACTCGTCTAACCTGTATTAAAAATCAAACTTCAGCTAAATTATGCAGGCCGTTTTGGGATGGCTGTCAGGAGAGATGTGTAACTAAAAAAAAAAAAATTAGAAGTTTGGTGATTGTAATAAATACATTTTTTTTCTCTATTTAAAATGCTAATTAAAAACACGTGGATCGTTATGAAGTTTGTGCATCTAAACAAAATGTTAGTCCTCATTTATGACATACCCAAAGTTAGAACAAATGTAGTAAACTTTACTGCTGTCTGCTGTGAAATAAGATTGCATGACAGCTCAATGACAGACAGAAGCATTTGAAGTAAGCCACTATGTGTYATCACTTTTTTCTAAACTTTTTAATACAGCAGTTATCACTGACAATTCAGCACCTTGGCGGTGAGGTTCTCACAAGTGTAAAGATCCCCCACAATAGATTTTCATTGTTAAATGAAGTAATGAAGAAATCTTTCCCCTAAGTTTGCAAGTCAGTCACCAGTGTTTGTTTTAACCATGTCCTTAGCTGCACACGCCTACCTGTCATGCAGATGTTCCTAAAATGTAACTTTAAATGAGGCCAAAAATGAGCATTATGCAATTGAAACAGTATTCTGAATATAGTATGTTAGATTAAAACAAGACTTTTTAAAAAATAAAATAGTGCCACGAATCAGTGGCAAAAGTCAAATTTATAATGTCTGTAGGTTGGTGGTATAAAGAAAGATGATGCTCAGTTAAAACAGTTAAACCCCAGCTGTCATAACTTTGAGAGAGTACAGAGGCAGCAGTCACATATTCCTTCCAAAGTGTGCAATGCACAGTTCAAGCACACATCTCCATTCTCAGGGTGCTGCCGTGCTGCTTTCCCAGATCAAAGCTCCGACTGTGCCCAGGTGAGCCACAGTTCACCAACCATCAGCCAGACAGGGCAGCCAGCCTAGACAGCCAACTGGAGATAATCAAATCCTCAATTTGTACTGTAGAGGAACCTCTCATTTCCAACAGGTTAAAATTCAGCTTATGCAAACTCAKGTCTTTGTGCATGTTTAGGTTTTGCATTCACACAAATCCACCCATTACTGCGTGATGAAGCAGTTTATTCCCCACCACACCCCTGGTTGCCACCTTGAAACACACATCTGTCCTTCCCGAGCCACGATGTGGAGGTGAGRAAGGAACGTCACCACTGCCAAAGGAGCAGCAGGGAGGAGCTGGATGCAGGAAAAGCCAYCAAGAAATAAGGTGCAGCAGCACCTGACAGATGATACGGCTCAATGCCATATCATAATGAGAACGGCAAGATTTGTGTAGAAGAAATAAAAAATGGCCAGAGCACCACAGCAAGGGACTGCAGTTAGAGACAGTGCCAGATGCTGGCCTGCAACTTCCCAAACTTCCCTTTAACAGCAGGAAGAAGACTTTTGTGTGTTGAGTGAAGAACCCTAGTCCTATACTGCTTTCTGAAGCAGCTTTAGCCTGTGAACTACCTGTGTTTTAGGCTATGTCAGTCACTAAAGGCTTTCACCAGACRCTGTTTACAGGGTCTGGAAGTAGGTGTACCCTCAGCCTGACCCTGAGTGACCCTGAAGTGGATGTGTCACCTGCAGCCGACAGCGGGATGGATTGTGCAGGCCCAAGACAGATGCCCACCACCAATGTAGGACCTGGGTGAAGTCTGAGTGTCAGCCAGATCCCAGSGTTTCACATTAGGATCCGTGCCTTCAAGAAACCGTGATAGAAAACGCGATGCAAAGGCCGTTCGGTTCCTGATGAAGGTGAGCTGCTGCAGCCTGGAATCACCTCTGGCTGCTGTGTGACTCCTGAGGGAAGCATTGCCTGTGGCGCTCTGCAGGCAGCGCAACACCTGCTCCTGGGGCAGTGCTGGCAGCCCAGCATTTTCCTACTTGTTTCATTGAATTTCCACATGTCCGAGCAGGTGAACGTGAAACAGTGACAGCAGAGGAGATCCCAGGGAGCCCATKGCGTGCTTTGCACAGGGACAGGCACTTGGCACACCACAGACCAAAGTGGCCAGACCTGCCACTCATTCCATTTAATGTGTCCACCTGCCATTTAATGTGAAAATCTTAGCACACCGAACACAGCATTCAACGTGCCGGGCTGCCGAGCCCTCTGCCCCGGTGGAGTTAATTAGGCTGGAAAAGACCTCTGAGATCATCGAGTCTAACCCAACACCACCTTGTCAAGCAGACTCCGGCAGAGTGCCGCATCCAGTCCTTGCTTAAACACTTCCAAGGACGGTGACTCCACCACCTCCCTGGGCAGCCCATTCCACTGTCTAATCACCCTTTCTGTGGAGAATTTYATACTAATGTCTGACCTAAATCTCCCCTGGCACAGCTTAAGACTATGTCCTGTCTTCCTGACTACAGCTGAGGAAGGGGTGATTAGGGAAAGCTGTGGAACCGGCCGAGCCCCCCGCACCCAGCGCAGCGGAGCCGCGAGCCGGCGGGAAAGCGGGCTGGCGGGGCCGGACGGAGCCGCCTCACGGCGCGGCGGGAAAAGCCGCCATGGCGCAGGCGCCGCGCCCCCCGCCCGCCCCGGCCGGTGCTGCCCGCGGGAGGCG